GTGTGTGGGGTGGTGTGTATGATGGGAGAGAAAGCCAGAAAAGAGTATGTGTGAAACCAGGAGAGCGCTCTCTAACCTCCAACCCCTTCACACACACACGCACACACACACACGCACGTACGCCCACCCCGCCTCCACAACCCAGAGGAACGTGAACCCTTGTGTAGAGGAAGGGAGCCGGGCCTGGCTGGCTGGGGGAAGGGGGTCGGGTTGCAGGACTTGTGCTACATTTGCAAACTGGGGAAATATATTTAGCCCAGGCCAGGGCAGAAACAGGGACATGAACACACTGAGAACCAGAAGGAGGCTCGGTATGCAGCCGTCAGCCATTCAATGCCCTGGCTGACGTGGGAGAGGTGGCGGGGCAGTGTCCAGGGAAATCCCCCCCACCCTCTTACCTCTATCTCTCTCTATATACAGTATGTCATTCCACTGGTCCCTCTGATCTCATTCTCCCTCTCTCTCTGTCTCTTTGTCTGTCCGTGCGTCTCCCGGAAAAAAAGGGGAAATGAATATGGTTATGGATATGACAGGAGGTAACAGGAGTAACAGGTTCAGTGTCACAGCAGTGAACTGAGGACAAGAAGGCCAACCATCGCTGCTGCAAATAAGAAACCAGACATTTGACGACTTATGCCTTGGATGTATCTGCTGAATATTAACTGCTTAACAGCCATTTAGCGTGCAAACTTCCCCTTAGTAAAAATCAGTCGGGCCACTGGTAAAAAGTGGCAGTCGTTGGCAGGGTGGTGCTGGTGCCTGAGGTCGAGTGTGTCCACAAGAGGGCGACCTCTGACCCTATCAAAGGGGACCTCTTCTTCCTCCCCCCCTGTGTGGCCCATGAAAAAGAGGTGAAGGTGAGGAATGGAGAACCCAGCAGACCCGCTTGCTGGGCCCATCAGGCAGTCAGACACAGCTAGTGGGTCTCTGCTGGGATTCAGCCGTCAGGATGACCGGTTTGTCTCCATTCTGCACCTCGACCCTCGAAACAATCCCACATGACAACCAAGCTGAGACAGGTCGTTATCTTATCTCTTCAAAGCAGTGGGAAAAATGATGGATGTTGGTATTCTGATGTTATAAATCAATGTTTTATGGATATAATATTTGGCGTAGAGAGAGAACAACGGTGAGAGTCCCCAAAACCAACACTGGAGTTAATCCATTTCGTCATGTAAATTATACTTGGATACATTAGCTTGTCGGTAAACATGTTCTCTTTGTCAGGTCTGTACGCCCATTCGTCTTCACTACGTTCAACGCAGAGTTTGGTTACCATTTCCAGCTTCAAGCTAGTGTTTCAAATCACATCCCTATTTTCTTTTTTAAACTATATCGTTAGGTGGAAAAAAGATTTTCCCTAATGGACATATGGACGGATATGGTTAGCCGAGCTTACATTATTTAAAGCTTGCAAAGATTATTTAAGTTAAAAAAAACATCTTTATTCACAGTTGAACCAGTTTAGACAATCAAGTGAGTCTGTTTTGGAGATAATTTCTCTGGATAATTGAGCTTGTGGAAAAAAAAAAAAAAGAGTGAAGAATGAACACTGGAGGGCCATTTTGACAGGATTAGTCAATAAGTTTGTTCTTTTAAAAGCTTGAACAAATTCCTCACAGTTACAAAGTTAGAGTAAAAAGATGTGATGCCATTGCTGCGTGCTTATTGTTCATATTTTAACACATTTTCAAATGATCCAGAATCTCTTTATGAAGTGTGAAGTGGGTTTGTGACTGGTGTTTAGACTTTCTATGCAAATTGCAATAACATGTTGGGGAAGAAGAAGTAAAAGAGAATTTTACATCATTAGTTGACAAGGGCTTTAGAAAACCATTAGTCTGTGTGAGTCTAGACTGCAGTTACTTTCAGTCCTCAGGTTTTCTAAAGGACCCTCCTTTATAGCCCTTACCCTTCGAAGATCCAGCCTTTGAACGTGGACGCAGCTGGGATGTGTGACAACCCTGAGGTTGAATTTATAACACAACACTGTTGTGTGTGAGCATCTAGTTTTTGCTTTCTGAAAAGATTTACTTCCACCATATACTCCTGACCAACAGCAGACAGGTTGCCTATCTTACACAGCAGCCTCCGCCCGTCTTTACACAACTGAAGACCGAGCGTGTCATTGTTGAACTAGACACACAAACCAACACCGGGCAAATGACATAGGTCTGCACCCTGTACACACAAACGCACATATGCATGCACACCCACAAACAAGAAACCCATCTAAACATCCTCTCATTCTTTTCTCCATCCCACTGTGCTTGCACAAGGGGGGAGATTCAGTAGACCCGGTCGCCATGGCAACCAGGCTGAGCGTACCAGCCAGCTCTACCGTTGGCTGATTGTGGCTCTCGTGTATTTGTGTGTGTGTGTGTGTGTGTGTGTGTGTGTGTGTGTGTGTGTGTGTGTGCTCTTGCGTAGGTGTGTGTGAGACTGTAAAGCCTATACAGGGCTCTGCTTTGAGTTGTTACAGAGGAGGCAAAAAAAAAGGCAATATGTGGAAAAACCTACAGTGTGTCTGCATGCTGCTGTTTGCCGGATAAAAGACCGTTTTTCAAACCTGACATGGTTCCAGGGTTTAGGTTTATGTTTAAAACACACAATGATGCTTCAGTCTCTATATGGCTCCGATACTAAAGCGGTGTTTGGATTATGAGCTCTCATTTCAGCTGTTAAAAATCCTTCCACCAGTGGCCTTGATGAGTGAAATGCTGTGGAATGGCGTGAGACAGGGGAGGATATTTTTCTTAGGAAGCGTTAAATCATCCTTACTACGGCAAATGAGTTCCTTCTACAGAGTGAACCATTATGAATCCCGTCTAACCTGCAGGCCCCAGTGCCAAGCGGTCTTCCTGCAAGCGTAATCTCCGAGTTAATGAAGGACAAGGCAGTGGAAAGGGTGATGTGTGTAGGCGAGAATGCAGCTAACCTTTAGAAACCGCAGGAGAGTTCAGCTCCCTGTGGTCACCAACAGGGAATTTCTTTTTTTTTTCTCAAGGAAAAACAACGCTGAACAGGTAAATGTCATTCAGCGCAGGGCAAATCATTTCCTCTCACAAATGAAGAGGTCATTTGGAACAAAAAAAAAAAAAAAAGGGTAGCTTTGTGAAATGTCGTGTCCAGAAATGACTGCATCACGGGTGACACGTGTGTGATGCCTTTAACCCCGCCTCTTAACTCTACTAAAGGGAAGATTCGCTCCCCTCCAAATATAAAAACAGCTCCTTGCCGCTTTTTTGATTAGATATCATGGAAATAGCTTCTTCTGACAGAGCGAATCTGTGCATCTCTGTGCACCGACAGGGTGGTGTCAGGGTCAGATGGGAGTAGTGGAGGCGAAGACCCCAACACCTGGGGACTTACAATCGCCATCAGAGCCGAGGAGGAATCTGTGCATGTGTGTGTGTTTCAGCTCCAACTCTGTCACAACAAAGCTGTGTGTGTAGCTGTACTCACAGGGGTTTTACTGTTGTTATCGAGATGCTATCAGAGCCATTTCAAAGTGTGATATGAGTACAGTATGTGGGCTGTCTGTGACAAACACACAGGTGTGGATGGAAAGATACGGCTTGTTTAAAAGACAAGAAAATAATGGGTTTTTAGTTTTCTCAGCCAGCGGTGCAAAAATCAGTTAAGACCTGCAGATAAACCCAGACGAAAATATGACAGCTGATAGAAAAACTGAGGGGCAAATGAAACCATTAGACCTCGGCAGTGAGATCCATTTTCTTCCCATCATAGGCGGCAGAAAGTCTATTACACTTTTTCTCCTCTCAGCATGCTGCGTGCATGCTTCAGACTTTCAGCAAGAGCACAACTATAATCTTAAATGATTGATAATTGTTCTATTTGCTCTTTGAAGTGTGCTCAGTCGTGTCACTTTATTTTGAAATGTCTCTTAGCCAGGAAATTCCTGCAGCAGATTTCACTGTTGGTACAGCAAATGAAGCAAATCATGCATGGAAAGAAATTCAATTAAGGTAATTCTCCAGAGAGTAAAAATGTTTTGCAGCTTAGATTATAATTAAGGTAATTTTAGGAATTAGGAAATATAGAATGGGAACATATGACTTGGTACTTTTTAGGAAGTTGTTGAGTACTTATATGCCAACCCCATGTGGGGTCACACAGCAATCAAACGGGATCGTCTGAAAATGTTAATAAAAAATATTTTGTATCGTAAAATATATTGAACACAGGCTACTGCAGAGTCTTTGTGTGTCTGTCATCCATTGTGCAAAACTGTCATCCCAGCCTTTCTTCCTCTGTCCTCAACAACATGCATGAAACATGCAAAATAGTAGATCAACTATTACATGACAGAAAAAAAAAAAATTAAGCAAAAAGCTGTATGTGTTTTGGATGTCTGGGGTCGCCAGAGTTTTGTGAAGTCACAGTGGTCCAGTGATTTATATGTATATTAAACTTACATATACTAAGTGCTTGTTGAGTTGATCAGTCAAATGAAGGTTTGCAGATTAATGATCTGAGATGTGTTTTACATGATAAAAAGCAATAAAGGACTGTTACTATTTTAAGAATCTGAAACTATTTCGATAATTTGATAATTTAAAAGATATATTGGCAACAAATTGGTTAATTCCAGCTTCTTCAATGTGAGATTTGTTTTTGTGTCATATATAAAAGTAACCTGAACAGGTTGGGTTTGTGACTGCTGGTGGAATTAAGCAAGCTATCAGAATAGATCAGCAACTGTTTGTGTCCTCTTGTAAGTGTAAAAGTTGGATTTGAGAGAAAAAAAAAAAACAATCTTATTAAAACCTTATTCAGCTCAGCTGCAAGTAGATGAAACTTGTTCCTAGGGTGCAAACCTCTATGTGGAGCGGCTGAGTTCCCAGCATTAATAGTCCTTACATTGACCTCATTAAACTTTCATTCGAATGTTCATTAAATTAAACGGCAGGAAAGTTGAGACCGAGTCTGGCACCTGGATTAGCAGCCTGTAGGGAGGATTAAGTGTGAAACGTTACCTGTCGGACAAAACTGTTGGAGGTGGTGTCAGAGGAGGTGCTTCCATCGGAGCGCTTAAATCGGCTCTTCCTCTTGGCGTACTTTCCCTGCAAGCGGAGAGGTCGGAGGGTACAGGGGAGGAGGATTTGGAAGGAGAGAGAAGACACCAGAAGTTTAATTACTTTTAATAACGAGGGTCCAAATGACTTATCTTGACATAGTGTATCCTGTGTTAAACCCCTTGTTTCCTGGAGAGCACCACAGCCATTAACATTTGGCCCAGGATTTTCACAAGCTCCTGAATATGATCAGGCAGTCGGTTAGTAGCAGAGATGAAGCAGTCCCTGACTGGACACCAGAGAGAACATGTTCGCGCTGTCCATGAACAACCTTTATTACTTGTCATTTTTCATGTCCTGACGCAAACCGGGAACTTGTAATCTGATTGGCAGACCCCATGCAAACGGCCTATCAGGGATGGGTAGAGGCCACACATTGTATTATGATCCCACCCAGCTCACATCGCTATGGTTACACAATGCCGACTAATCACATTTGTTGGGAGTCAGGAGACTGGGGTTGCTTTGTTCTTCCGAGCGAGAATAAATGAGAACTGATGGTTCAGATAAGATTTACAAATAAAGCAGAAAGATGAACATGCAGAATTTACATTTCACCACATTTACTGAGCACATTTAATACATCTATGAGCCAATACACGTGTGTGCATTGACGCCTCTAGTTCATTATGTCCATCCTCTGAATGTTTCATTAAATATTGTGCACAGAGCAGACTAAAGGCAGGTGGTGCTTTTGCAGGTTTTCCTTTGTTTGTCAAACATCACTTTAGATTTAACAGCAGAGAAGAAGTGAAGTTTTGTCGATGCCGAGTGTCAACCAACTAATCGATTAATTGTCCCAGCTTCAGTTTGTTATTTCAAAAAAAGATTTCCTTTGAAATTCCAGTCAACTCTTTGTTAATGCAGTTTCAAGAACTTTTGTTTTTTTGCAAAGTCTACAGGTGTGACGTGTTCATAGGCAGGTTTGAAACTCCATACAGACACAGCTTTCACAAAGCAAACTTTTCAAATGATAACAGAGTTACCTCTATAAACACCGCCCTGTTTGTACAGGACCTTGTTCTTATACTTCATAGATTCAATCTCAGTCACTCACTTTGACATACACATGCACACAACACACCTGCAATACTTTCAAATTGAATCAGCACTCATTGCATTATACTTCATTTAGATGAAACGCTCATTGTGATGAATTGCTTATCTTTAAAGTTGAAGTTAATATGAACTGAGAAGGGCATTCAAAATCCTATTTCTTTCTTAATACTTTTTTTTCTTACACTCTCAGACGCTGAAATAAAAATCATCTACTATCAAATAGATTTCACTGAAATGCTGTCTTGTCCACTGATTATTTTCTAAACACATAAATACCTCTTTTTTGTGTTAGGACTGCATTCATCACGGGGGCTAGAGAAGTTTCTGCATATTTCATTATACTAAAATGTTCAAAAGATACTACTCCTGTTACATAGAGTTTTCGAAAATGTGGAAAAACTGTCCCACGGTTAGATTTGAAAGGTCGTTAGCCATAATATTGAATATTCAGTGTGAATATCGTGCATGTCTTCTGTTCTCTTTGCAGGAACACTTATGTAAATAATAGCCCTGTGAACTGTTTGTTTTTATAGGCGGAGAATAAAACTATTACAGCTGTCTTCAATTGTTGTCACACACTCGCAAAAAGAAAATCTACCCTGATATATCCTTCCCTAAACACAGATAAACAAACACACACACGCACCTAAAACACACACACAGGTAAACTTATGTAACTCAAATGAGTTAAACTGTCTGTTCCTGGATCAGCAGGACAGAAACAGTTACAGGTTTAAAACCATGCTCCTTCCTGCACTCAGTATTTCGTTGCAACTGTCACATCCTGTACCAGCTTGGGCACCCTGAGACCATCAAATGAATGATTCTGCCCGGCCTGCTTTTTAACAAACACGACCTGTTACAGCAGCTCCTACTGGTGTGAACATAAAACCCCACAGCGGCCGAGCAGGTTTCCAGTGTGAACAGAATATCTGTCACTCGCTCATCTCCATTTAAGGAGCTGAGGAATTCAAGTGAGTTCATTTTCAGCCTTATGTAGCACCAAAAAAAAAAAAAAAAAAAAAAAGAGATGTCTCCGACCCTTTGAGCGATGCTTGATTTACTGCTGCTGATGGACAAGATGAAAACACTGCAGGGTGCTGCACAGAAAACATATGGTGATACATTACATACTAACTTTCACTGTGTAAGCAACTCCTACAAGAAGGCTTGCTGGCATTTAGTGTTAAGAAATAAACTTAATAAGACGTGAGAGAAAAAGATGTGCAAATGGCATCCCTGCTGGCAAATGTTTCCTCCTACGCTGGCTCAAAAAGTTGTTCAAGAATCACGACTTTCACACAAAGTTGTGTTAACTTGTTACAGATGCATTCGCCATGATGCCGCTTCATTTAGTTTGTGTCTGCACACTTCACTTCAATTATTGTGATTAAGTGATTACTATGTGGATGCTCACCCTGCTGCAGCTGTGCCATCAGATAAGACAGAAACTTACAACATTACACCATATCAGATAGAGATCACAGTTAAGTTAAGTTTAATGCTAAAAAAAACCAAAAAACATTAAGAGGTATTTAAGGATGTTCTGGTTTTGGTGGCACAGCTTTCACAGATTCACAAAATACATTTATGTAATCTGTGTGTGGGTGCTGGTGGGTGTGTAAGCATGTGTGGGGACAGGGGTCTACATGACTGGAGCCATGATGGGGCAAGTTCCTGTTGGCAAAGGCCAGGGAAATGCCATAGGAAGCAGGGAGGGGAGATTTCCTGTTGGTAAACATCCTCCCAGATTAAGAATATAATTAAAGAGGCTGTTGTGTTTGACTGTAGGAAAGCAGGGAGCGTGATGGGTGGGGGCTGGAAGGGGGGTGGGGGGTGGGTGGAGGTTAGAGGGTGGTAGGGTGCACAATATCACGACTGTAGATCCACATCACTCTCTTCCACTCCACATTATTCTTCCGGCACATGTCCTCGCTGATCTGACCGCCAACAGATACACAATCTTTAATCTAAGCGACCGTCAGGCGCTGAATTCAGATCAGCTCGTGGCAGCTCATTTCTTCTTCTGCGGTGTTATTCTGGATATCAAACTCCAGGCCGTCTCCTTGTGGATATTAGAAATGCTGTTCCCTGCTTGTCTCACTACAGCAGAGTTATAAATACGTATACCAGCATGGCCCGCTCCAGGTCAGCATGAACTTTATATCTAATTGATCAGTGGTGCCGCACACATACACACACACATACACACACACATACATACATACACACCGTTCCCCGCTGCCTGGCACAAACAGGGGGTCCATCTGTTTCTCACCACGATGATCTGACTTCTAAAAACAGACAGGATGAGGTGAGATGGTGCAAGCAGGATGGAGCTGAAGTGGAAGGAGAAGGAATCTGGAGAGCAAGAGGGGGAGGAGGAGCAGGGAGGAGTGGGAGTACAGAGGAGAGAGCTGGACTTGGCATGGTTTGAAGCGTTGGTTGTCTGTGGTGAAATGTTTTTTTTTTCTTCTTCTTCTTCTTCTTCTTCTTCCCTTTTCTAGAGAGACAATGACCGAGCTCAGTGTGGGTGTGTGTTTGTTCTAGATATTCTCATCGTTTATGTTTTTCATCCATTTAAAGTGTTATGACTAAACATGCCCACAACATCATGTCATTTCCTAAAGGCAACAGCCTATTTCTAGCTGTAAAAAAAAAATAGTGACACCATCAAAAGCAGAGGTATACAATTGCAAATGAGGTAGAAAAATTCATAATTTAAGCTGTATGTTGATCAATTTCTATAAACTGAAAACGTATTTGATGTCAGACACAACACTTTAAATACAAACTCCTTAATAGCCCAAATTACACGTTTGAAAACTTAATTTAACATGTTTTGTGTTCAATCTCAACAAAAAAAAAAAAAAAAAAGAAAATGTACATCTTCTTCACAATTGATGCACATTCACATTATTACTTTAATTACAGATTAATTAAGCAAAGGCGTGGTTTCCAGAAGGACCCAATGAGCGTAAAAAAAGCATAAAAACAAGCGTTACATCATGTCCTCACATATGATGACACATGGGAGGCTTAACAAAAAACCTTTAGAAACAAAAAGTGTAATGCATTTTTTTCCCCCCCTTCCTTTTAAAGTGAGTAAAATTCGGTTTGAATCAGTGCACCAGCGTTGGGCGACTTAAATGCGGAACAACCTGTTAACCATCAGAAGTGGAGACGCTTCATCCTCGTTCAAGTGGTCGGCGCTGAAAAATGTACGATAGTTCACGCAGTCTTTTCCTTATTCTGTCTTCATATTTCTGATTTCAGTTTTTCCTTACCTGTGTGTGTGGATGATGGTCGAACATGTCCATTTGGATCTCCTGGGTTGAGGTCGAAGGCGTCCTGGACATACTACTTTTCTGTACCATTGATTTAACTTTTTCAAATCTATTTTCAGTTTCGTGTTTATGATGGTGTCGACCGACTCATCATCTTCTTTTTCTTTTTCCTGCAGGGAGGCTGATGCCGCTAATGTATCTGAGCTGGCTGGTAATATAATGGCAACAGCTGCCTCCCTCCAGCCTATAGCGTTACAAACTGGCGCACCAGGCTTTAACGCCACAGTTAAAAATGACGAGTTGATGTAATACCACATCCTGTGACTGCTTTCACAATAAAATCATAAACGACAGGACATTTATAGTAGTGGGACCACATACAATCATAAACTGCACTGTGGTAGATATTTCGTTTGTTTCTACATTTATATAGTTTGTCATTTTCCACAGGTTGCAATGAAAATAAACATGAATAATCAATTATAACCTCGAAACACTGCGAGTAGTCCCTGAAGCCGTTTACAGTTCCTCAGCATTAAACCTTTAATTTCTTAATTTTACATAGGCTACTTAGGCCTACTTTACTTACTTAAGTTAAAGAAAACCCAAAATGTACATTTGAAAATCAACGACTTTGTCTTAAAAGAACTAGGCCTATATGTAGTATGTCATTTTATAAACTAATGATGTTTCCATAACATTGACTTAGGCTATTTGTAAGTAGGTCAGGCTTACATATAGGCTGCAAAGAAATGAAAGGCTTCTCCCTTGTAATAGATTTACACTTTCGAAGAGAGGAAACGCACATGTATTTCACTTAGCCTATAATAAGCACATTTATACGTTCATAATTCTTTTCATTTTTCAAAAGTGACTCACAAAACGTATAATAAATGTGACCCTGGTTCACCATTATATAATAAAACGTCAATAGTCACCTAGGTTACAACAAAGGTGACTTGTCTTCTTTCCTTTGCTTCCTGTGCTTTTATTTTGAAGGAAGATTCCACTAACTTCAGGTCATGTGGCTGTCTTCCTCTCTCTCTCTTGACTTCGTCTCACTCTGGTCGCTCCTCTGACTCCAGCTGGGAGCCGAGGTCCACGCCCCGCTAAACACACCCCACCTTCACTTATCGATTGATGAGAAGCAACAGAGCCGTGATGATGGAGGCCGTGGACAGACTGTTGGGCCAAACCCCATGGTCCCCACAGCGGGATCCAGAGTTTAGAGGTCCTGGGGGGGGGGGGTTCTCAGAAGAGTGGGAATAGTTGGATTCAAAGATAGTTTGTTTTTAATACATTCTCCTAGTTTGAACACTGGCTCTATTTTTAGTAGAGCACATCTTCAAAGGTGTTTTGTCTTAATGCTATTTATTGAAGTTTTTATTTTGCATAGGCTACTTTTTTTTTTTAAGTTCTTTATATTTATATTTTGATTTTAATGTGAGCTTTGGAAATAAAAATATTTTCGTTGTTAGCCTCATATGACTCATATAACATAATGGTGATGGACGCTGGTTTGAGGGTCCCCGACATGCACTAGAATCCCCACTGGGGCTTCCTCCCTCCTCCTGAGCCAATCTGAAGTATGAGCTGCTGCAGCCACAGAGGATGACCCAACGTTGTTAACTGTGATCACGGTGTCAAAGATTTCTCAGCAGACAAAGTTTGTTTTGGACATCAGCAGGCATGGAGATTTTCTTATTTATTCTGTTCAACTCAATGGATAGAACAGTAATGACCTACTTCAATTGCCATGATAACTTATGAAGAAACTTCCTGACAAACTCCTTCTGTGTCTATAGGCTACATCTGTTTAACGACCTAATCTGCGCTTGAAAGTTGAACTTACTATTTTATTTTATTCATAAAAAAAAGAAAAAGATAATTAACCGGAGAGTTTCTGCTTTTTTTGTGTGTTAAATCTCTCTACCGATCATGACTCATACACACTCATACACAGCCAGTATTACACGCTTACTCAAATAAGCCCAAAGCAACAAATATTCTTATTTTCAGATCAAATGACTAATGTGATGATCTATTTGGTTGTTCACACCTTACCACAAAAAAAAAAAAAAAAAAAAACCTGTACCACAGGAGATCAGCTTCAGTTTGTGCTCAGCTCCATCACTCGTCTGCTTCTCATCTCAGTTTCCTTTCAGTTCACATCTTTAGAAGTCAGTGGCTACTTTTCCTGGGACACAAGGTAAAATAAAGTGTAGGCCTATGACAGATGATTTGATGTAAAATGAATCCCTACGCCTCTCTTTACATTTTGGATGTTTGATTTTTAATTGTATCATTATTTTGCCTCCTTCAGGATGAGTCTGCTTTTATGAACATTGTTGATTAACAGCTCAGCAGATTATTGTACCACTCTGACCCAGTTAACCTGTCAACCAGCAATCATCTGGACAGCTCGGCGGCTTCACTGCTGGCTCTGATTAACTTCTGTTGAGGAGAGGCATGAGGCTTTGACTGCTATCATTGACTGTAATAATGTTTACTCTGTCAGGAAAGTCAGAACATTAAAGAAACGAATGACTTTTTACCAACAAAAATCACTTTAATTTAATATAGTTCATAAATAAATCGAGTTTAGAAAAGTAGTGTCACATTAAAATGAAGATTAACAGCAGTAAAGGTGGAGAAGATGAAGGTGGACGGTGGTAGTTTATAGTTAAACAGTTGTGCATTACTATCAAGCACACAGTCAGCAGTGGATTCAGCGTTACATAAAAAAAGAGATGATGGAATTTTAAAATATATTCTCATTAACAAATTTTAAGATGAGTTTCAAATTGGCATAGTTGGTTTTTTGCAAATGAGCAAAATTCATAAAGCAGGACCATTTTGTGTGCCTACACAGCAACATCTTTGTACATTAGGTGTTTGATTATACCTTTTCTTGTGATGTGACACCACCGTTTCTCCTTTGTATCGATTGTGTTCTCATGTGTGTTGTTCTGGCTCTGAATGTGTTGCACATCAGCTATGGGAACAGGACAGGCCAACTGGAAGGCTTTGACAGAATTAAAGATTCTGTAAAATGTTTACACCTTGTTGTTCTGTGTTGGTACAGAAGTGAGGGGCTGAGACTAACAGTCAAGAAAGATTAAGGTCCTAACATCTGAGTCCTGACAAAACAGCTTTTAGGGTCAACCAGGTTTCATGTCATGTTAACAGGATATCCCGGAAAAGATAACACTAATTTAAACATACTCATTTGTAAGCAAGCGTTGTTGCTTCAGAATGAATGAATTCATCAAGTCTAAAATAAAAATGTGTTCAGAAAAGTGCAGTTAAGGGCTACACTATGGCATCTCTAGTCTCGAAACATCTGATGTCATTGAGTTTGAAACAGTTTTGTTTGTTTATTTTAAGCTCACACTTGTGCCGAGAGAGCAGTTGAATCAGTGGTGGGAGGTGATCCGGTACTTTGCCTGGGGATGATGGTGATTTCAGCTGATATTCTGGGTTACTTGAGGTGAATAAGTCACACAAGTGCCCCTCATTCGCCCACACTGTGAGAATATGGAGTTGCTGTAGTGATGGGGCTGCTGCTAAAAAGCCAAGGCTGCACCAGTTAACAGTCAGATGTTAAAGTACCTTTTTTTTTTTTTTTTTTTTACAAGGGTCTTCCAAAATAACCTTTCATCAAAATACTCAATCTCGTTACTCTTTGTCTAAAATACAAGTCAAACAAATGCTTTTAATTACATATTTCTGATATTTTCATTTGTAATCAAAGTGTTATTACTTTTATTTCCCTAAAGTTGCATTTAAAAAAAAAAAAAACAACATGTTTATGGTTCCAATTTGAATTAAATTATTTAGCCTACACAAATTTAATAGGCCGAATTTAATTTGCAGTTACGTCAGATGAAACCTTTTTTCATTTAATCTGACCTAACCAAAATGAAATTGCAATCCTTTTACTGAACCACATCTAAATCCTTTCACAGGAATATTGTAAGGTTGGCAGAATTCAACCTTTTCAAAAATTACGCAAAATAAAATAAAATCTCATCATGAAAAAAGTCAGAAAATGAATACGAAATCATTTAAATATTTCAAACCACGATGATTTTGCCCAGTGTGACGTCAGCGGGATTTTCGGTCTCAATACTGCCCTCGTGTGTTTATTCTGGAGAATGCAACCAAAACTGTTTCTTCACCCACAATGCACTGCAAAATCACCGGCCGGTACCATTATATTACAGGGGAATATAACCGATCAACATAATAAAATAAATTAAAAATCAACTTAGTCGTCGCCAGTTAATGTCATGTATGACTTTAAAAACACACAAATACGAGCTATGTGACATGTAAGAGACTCACATAACGTCCGTTTCTGTCTACGATAACACATATCTGCGTCCCGTTCGGAGATGGACTCTCCCTTATAATGGTAGCTTCCGATCCGTCGCTCAACTCTTCCTTTTCCTGTTGAAGTAGCAGCCATGAGGTAGGACTGCAGTCGATGGCAAAACCGAAAACACGATTTAAGTGTTAAAATGCACGTTTGTTAAGTCAATATCACGTTTCCCGAGATTACACAATGTACCTCATTCATTATAAATTAAGGCTAAACCGTATTTTGTGATACATAACTACATTTTTTTACGAGGCAATGTGGGACACGATGTAGCGGCCGGAGGAGCCATATTGTCGACCCGGCTAGTAGCCTACTGTTAGCGGTGCAGCTAATAGACACTGATTAAATCCGACAAAAAAACATCCCTCGTGTAGAATACACTCAGTTTTTGTTGCATTTATCTTAACACACCTGGATGTTTGAGTTTTGTTTTTGTTAGACTTTAAATCTTGTCTGTGTCCCACAGCATGCTCAGGCTCCAGAAGAGGCTGGCCTCCAGCGTCCTGCGCTGCGGCAAGAAGAAGGTCTGGTTGGATCCAAACGAGACCAATGAGATCGCCAACGCCAATTCCCGTAAGTTCAGACCTTCTGCTTCTGTTTACCTGCTGCTTGTTTGTCTTATTGTTTCTACATCAACAAGTCCCTGAAATGTTTCTTTTGCTTTCCTCTGTCATGATGCTTTCTTGATGTCTTGTGTGAAGCACTTTGAATTGCCTAGTTGTTGAAATGTGTTGTATAAATCAACTTTGCCTTTGCCTAAATTTATTGCTGAGACTGATTGTTAAGATCTATTTAATTAAGCAATGGCCAATAATGATTTTTTTTTTTTTTTATAATTAAACTGCTCTCATGACCAAC